CACAGCTTTCAAAAAAGTCATCTACTATTTTGTAATTTATAAAGTCACTTAAACATTCGGCTAATGCTTAGCATGCTCTCTGCTTGTCTGAATTTCTGGTGCTAGAGACTGAACCCAGAGCATCAGGCGTGCTAGGCAAGTCTCTACCACTGAGCTATACACCCCTAGTGTTTTCATGTCATTTACCAAATTGGCTTGCGCTTCAGGACAACTTTTTGTCTTTAAACTGGAATATGTGTATGCATACAGATCTAGGGACAGGTAGAAGAACTCTGACAGGTAAGTGTATTCCAAACAGGAACTGCAGTTTGGTGTTTCCAGCTTACTGAGATTCAACACTGTTTCTGATTTCTGGAATTAGATCTCTTGTAATTTATGTCTCAAACTAATGAAGTTACTTCAGGGTCAGTCAAACAGCAAGGATGAACCAATTAATAAAACAATGAAAATGACCTATTAAGAGTATGCAAGGTGTAAGGCTGAATCTTCTCTCTTTTTTTACACACAAAGTTTTCAACATAGCAACCAAAAATAACCCATTTATGGGGAAATATTCAAGTGTATTTACATTTATATTAAGACTTTAAAGAGAGATAATGTTGAAAAAAAGAATTAAAAGGATTTTGAAATAACTTTTAGCATCTGCTGAAATGAAACACAGTTTAAACAGAAAAAGAAAAAGCCCTAATTCTTCTCTGTTATTAAGTTAAAGGGGAGAAAGACATTTGACAGTTGTTTTCACCGACTCTGAGCAGTAGCTTACTTGGCTCTGCTGACTAACCGGTGGACGCCCGGACCTCTCCACCACCGCAGGACACTGGCACAGCCCAGGGTCCTCAACAGCAACACTGTGGGTTTAATCCTCCATCAAGCCAGTAAGACCGCGACACATACTTTCTGGAGAACGGCAACTACCAATGCTCACTAGCTGCAAAGTACTGGCATAGTGACTCTATGAAGACCGAGACAATGATTTGCACAGAAACAAAAACAACTTCGTATCACACTTTTGACCACCTAAACTTGAATGCCACTGGTTGGCTGCTGAGTTAAGGTATCTTTATATATATGTCTTGTTTTTAATTTTGTGAATCGTTTCAAGACTGATGAGGACACCTGGGGAGTTCTGACCCAGGCATCGTAAGGGAAAGTGGACAGCCTCATCTGGTAAGAGGCAAGGGGGATGCTGAAGGCTCTGACTAGGGGGAGAGCTGCCTACCTAGAGTCAGTAAGAAAGACACTACTGACACACTCCTCCAGCCAAGCTGCAGAGTGCAGACCTGATCCTTTGGTACAGGAGAAGGCAATGCTACACATTAAACACCGTTCTTCAACGTAAGAAGGCAAAACACTTACACTCAAGAGGGACTATCTTCAAATGGTTTCTCTCCAACAAACAGCTGGAGATGTATCCTAAACCCACTCCAAAGTCTCTCCAATCTACCCAGGGGCTTGGACGTGTAAGAAAGCTATGACCAGGAAATTCAGCAGGAAATGCTCACTGTCACAAAGATGTTGATAGTTTCAAAGTTTCTTTTGAGAAGTTTTTGAAACATAAAAAGCATGAATAACTAAAACTAAAATCTTAAGCTTTCAGAAAGACAAATTCCAAAATTTTATAAACACACTATAACAAATTAATAAATTTCCACATTTACCTAAGAAGATATATTAAATATCTTTTTTTTTCCTTTTTCTTCTGGTACTGGACATTTAACCTAGGGCCTCTGCACTGAACTAACACCCTCAATCCTTTAAAAACATTTTAAAATTTTATTTATTTTTGAGAGATGGTCTCTCTGAGTCGCCAAGCTGCCTTTGCTGGGCTGGAACTTGCGACCCTCCTCCCTCGGCCTCCCCCCTGGCTGGCATTACGGGGCTGTGGACCACCACACCAGGTTTCAAGTTTTCTTTGTTCTTCAGTTTTACCTTTAAGTTGTATCTCAGGACTTTTCATGAACCTCACTCATACTGATGTTAGTGTAAACAATTACACAATCCTGTAACAGATTTATTAACCCTACCCAAGTATTTAACCCAGGTTTATCTTGAAATCTGGTACCATCCCATATCCCGCCACGGAGGAGGTCGGTAAGTAAAACAATGGCTTGGACGCTGCTGCTGCTTGTCAACTCTGTTGCACTAACTTCTATTAGAAAGGTTAAAAAAGGAAAAAAAAAACCTTGGAGAACAGTGCCTGGTATTCCAATGTTGAGCTATGCCTTTACACCGTCCGTTCTTTCGGACTGGAAGGTACTTCCAGGATTACCCTTAGAACCCTACGTGAAGCCTCCCCGACACTGCCGGGACTCGGAAACGGCACCCCCAAGCACGCGGCTTTGGCACGCAGGACGCAGGGGCTTGGAAGCCCAGTCTCTTTCTAACGCCCTCCTGACCTTTTCCTTACCCCCTGCTCCCCCCCAGACGCAGGCCAGGGCAAGAAGTCCTTTTGCCTGTGGTGAGTCACAGGAAACAGAGCCCCTTTCCCACAAAGCAAATCATGCAACCTAGAAATATTAATTCTAACTTCACTCGGCTTTTCTACGTTAGAAGTGGCTATAAAGAAACTCTCTCTGACCTGCCTTGCCTGTTAGATCTTAGGAACTCATTTCAGAAGGGGCCCTGCTCTGTATCCGGGGGACCGCAGGTGAAGTTGTCAGGTCTTGCTGCGTTTCCCTACTGTGTAACGTTAGGTCATACGCTTCTGTGCAATCAAATCCCACGTGGCTGTCCATCCTTCATCAGACCTCAACGTAAGAACTGAGTTTCCAGGGATCTTTGAGTTTTTGTTTCTCAAGGTTCCCAGATGACACAAAATTTTGATTAAATTTATTATGCTTTTCTTTTGTGACTCTGTTTTTTGTTATAGGGGCATCAGCCATGATCTTTAAAATGGCTGGAAAAAGTTGTGACACTTTTCTGTCCCACAAAATCTAACTTAAGATTACATAGAAAATATATAGGATGAGACAAACACATATAGCTTCTTCTAAATACCACCAGATTTCATAAAACTGAACTACTTCAAATTTAACCCTGTACTGAAAGTTTGCACTTTCAATGACATTTTCTCAACTGTATCAACTAAGTCTGTTGACAATTAAAACCTGCTAAGGAAATAGATTAGTGGCAGAATGCTTGCCTAGCATGTGCTAGCCCGGGGTTCAATCCCCAGCACCACAAACAAAACAAATGAAAGTAACAAATCAATATTTTAGCCTCCACAATATGCAATATGAATTTCTAAAAATGTGTCTCTCACCGGGCACGATGGTACACATCTATAACCCCAGCTACTTGTGAAGCTGAGGCAGGAGGATCACAAGTTTTAGGCCAGCATGGGCAACTTAGCAAATCCTGGTCTCAAAATTTAAAAAAAATTTATAAAGAGGGAATAAGGATTTAGCTTCATAATAAAGCACATGCACAAGCCCTTGGTACTGCAAGCAAAACACAACAACAAATAGTACCTCAGGATTTTTGCTCTGTCCTATGTAAATTTAAGTAAGCAAATCTGCAAGTTTAGTATGTTAAAATTTTATTACTTATAAGCTTCATCTTTTCTTTCCCTTTTTTGGGCAGGTGATGCCAACAGGGAAGGAACCCAAGGCCTTACACATGCTAAACTCACATTCTACTACTAAGCTACAACTTTGGCTTCCTCTTCTCTATAGTTTCACTATTCAAAAAAACTAAGAATTCCTGGTGACAGCTTTAATAGTAGAAATTACTTTCAAATGCAAAACAATCTAAAAAAGCATTTAATTCATTTGCCAACTGAAGGTTTAACATCTGAATAGGGGAGGGACTTTAATTCACATCTCACCGGAGTTAGTCTCTGCTTCTGTGTTAGTCTGCACTTCATTTACCATTAGTAAATGCCTCCTCTCAGACATAATGCAGAGAAAATAGGTCTGCACACTGTGAAACTCCAAATCTGTGTTGCCCTTCCTAGTCAAATGTGGTACCAGTGCTCACACCCTAACAATGTCTATGTTCTTTAGTGAAGGTAACTTGAGTTACTCCCTTACTTGGTTTTTTGATGAAATGGAGGCATTCTTTAAGACAGATAAAGAACTTAGTTTATTACACGGTAACTGGTCTTTGAAGACTGTACTGAACTTTATTAGCATGGTGCTCCAATGGACAAGCGAAATCCTGCCAATTTCCACTTTTATGGTCCATTATAAAGCAATGCACTTACTTAGTTTACTGTGGAAAGAGCTACACAGAACATAAAGGTGTTCTATGGTTACTTCTCTCTATCCAAGAAAAGAACAATTTCTTTGAATCTTTGCTCCTAATTTCTTTGTACCTTTTGGATTCTACAGATGCAGGTAGTTTTTTTTAAATTTGAAGAATGTAATTCTTTTTATGAGTCATACAGGAGAATCTGTGTTAGCAAGAAAAAAAGGCCACAACCTTTCCATCTATACCAGATGCCTTTACAACCCATGCTCTCTGGCGTTCATCAGGGAGAAACGCCATCAAGAAACCTGAAACACCATCCAGATGGAACTTTCCCCTTCTGACCGTTCTGATATTCTTCCTCCGGAATGTCCACTAGAAAGAATTCCTCCTTTCCTCATAGCCTCATGACTTGAGCAGGATTTCCAAAATTAGCCTACTCAAGTAAATAACCTGTACTATGTTTTGCTACTGTTCAATTTATTAACTCTATTGATATAATGTTAGGCTATACACATAAAAATAAGATACACTTTGACACTGACAGGATGTACAATTGAGACACAATACACTTCAAATGTGGACTAAAAAGACCTCAACTGTCAAACTGAACACTAGAAACCCGGGGAGGAGGGGGGAAGGGAGGAGACAGTACAGATTCTGCAGGAAAAGTAATGGTAAGTGTCTCGGTAGAAGATGACTCCAAGTTATACTCTGGCTAATCTTCAATGAGGACAGGATCTTAGAATACAAGTTTCTTGCTTTCCTAGTATATTTTTTCCCCAATGCTAAAACATCATATAAGAGCCTACCTGACATTTTGGAGAATTTGCTGTGCTGGGATTGATATTCCGCATTGCCTAAGAGTAAAAAATAAGATGGATAAAAATTACTTTAAGCCACATGGTTTGGCTGTGTAGGCTGAGTTACAAACTGTATCCAGACATATCACCATAGCACAGAATTCCCAAGCTACCCAAGAAGCAGCAGACTGAGGAAGACAAGAGCCACTGGAGTCACCACGTAATGAAACTGAAACCTCAGCGGTGAGGAGAGGACAGCGTAGGACTGAACATTTGGTAACGGTCAGGTAGGTTCTTTGCGTCTAAGTATTAGATGAAAAAAGTAACACTTTGATGTTTCACTGATAAGAAATACTGTCAATGGAAGAAGCTTAGAGGAAGCCAAACAACTTCAGCTGTACTGAAATTACAGACTGCTAAAACAGAAACGGAGATTCTTAATGCTAATGATTAGTATGCGAACAGAGCAGGCCTGTCACTTCAGTATAGAAAGACAACACAACAGGCAATAAAGAAGAGACAGAGAGGCACCTTTAAAGAGAGTGAAGCCACTCTGTCCAGGGCCCGCCACCCAGAGAGAGAGTGAGAAGAAGACTTAGAAAAATTCCTCAGAACGGAGAGTTTCATATGTAGTAGCACTTTGCCCACCAAAAACAAACAGACAGAAACCAAACAGGCTGATCTATGGTATACAACAAAATAAATGGCTCGTTTCTAAACTTTAAATTACCTGAAGAACAGCAACACCTCAATATTGCCAATTAAATAACTTTTTCTTATTAACGTTTCCTGATTTGGGTAGTTCTGAAATTGAGACTCGCACTTACTTAGATCAACTTATACTCGGTCACAACTAAATGAAAGGCAAACAATGAAAACAGGCCTATGTAAACGTATTTTTAAATGCTTTACTTTTTGTAGTAGCCATGTAATTAAATTATTGATGATGCTACCTTATTCTGATAATGCAGCTTTATCTAAGTGAAAAATACCTTTCTTCTACATTAGAAAGTCAGTCAAAGGTACAATAGACTGCATTACTATGCTTGCACTTTCCATCTCCTCTATGCAGGGAAAGAAGCATCTTTTTCATGCATCCTGACATCGCATGCTAGCACAAACTCTCGTCAGGGCTCACCGCTGACACCAGCCACCCCACAGTGACACCGACAGTGCGCAAACAGGAGCCGAGCCTGTGTCAGGCTGCACGACTGTGTTCTCATGCCTCAGGCACCAGATGCTCACGTCCTAACTCAGAGCTGAGACATTACTGACTTTGTGTACACTCAAATGACACTTTAGAAAGTCTTTTAAAACATGTATCTTTAATTTTCTATGCTCTCATTGATAAAAACGTAGAGTAGAACTGATTTTTAAATGCCTGTATTTGGTTTGTCATGATTCAATGGGGTAAACAGTACAGATACATGTTATTGTTTGTTTGTTGACAGTATCTCTGAGAGAAAAAACTAGGAAACAGGGAAAAGGACATTTTATTTCCTTCCAGTACACTTTCAGTTTACTTCTATTATCTATTCAAAACTTTTTATCTAAAAATTGATAAGTATATAAGATCACATCCCTAATATTTGAAGATTATCTTAAATATTCTGAAACAAGATAAAGCAAAAATTAATTTTCAGATGAGATCATCTACTTTTATTTAATATAAAGACCGATAAATAGTACTTTCTAAAAGAAAACTGATGGCAATTATTACGAAGGGTTTCAAGCTCTTTGCTGATTGTCAGATACTACCCTTCCCCCAAAGAAAAAACATCTGTAAGGACAGAACCCCACTTCCCCACCCCATGCTGAGGTTTGAACCCAGGGCCCTGTGCATGGTACACAAGTCATTTTAAGATATACTGGGATCTCTTCAATTTGGGTATAACTCGTATTTTAAATGAGAAGTGTTCAGATTTGGCAATACTAAAACGTATCTGCCACTGAAGGAAAGTCACATTGGTGTATCCCTCCCCCACACGAAGAATTCATTCAAAGGTATTCTCCCCAAGCGATGCTTTACAGTATCCCCACAGCAAAGCCCTCAGACACACAGGAATACAGTTTCACGTACACCTGGGAAGCATTCTTGCTTCCTTTAATTTTTGCTCAACTGCAATAACCACGGCCAAAAAAGCTCCTTAACATACAGGATTTTCTAAGTTACAGCCCATATGATCAAGAGCCAATCAACCAGACAGCATGCTTGTGTATTTATGTATTGCTCTAATTTTAGAGAAACAATAGTCCTCCTTAACTAATAAATGCTACAATGAAATCTGCCCACGTTTACAAAGGAAAACAAACCCCAGAAGTAGAAGGCTGGTTTCTAACCTGCGGCCTCACCTGCCGAAGCAGCTCTTGCTGTTTCAGCCGAAGCCTTTCCTTCTCCATCTGCAGCTGTTGGAGACGCATCTGCTGCTGCTGGTTGGAGCTGCTACCACCCATAACACCTCCCTGTGGGCTCTGGGGAGCCAAAGGAGGTGGCTGTTTTACTGGAGCACTTTGACTGATTCTCTGGTTCACGGCTGAAATGAAACAGAAAGACAAAAAAATCTAGTTAAAGAGAAGGACGACCTAGCTATAAGCAGCAAATGACAATGTCCAATGTAGGTTTTTGGTAATATGACTAAATACAACCTAACAGTCCATCAGTAGCATGATGTTACATTAACGCCTTGTCATCGCTGTGAAGAGGATGGCAGGCAGTCATAAACAACTACAGCAAGTATGAACTGAAGAAATGAAATGAAAACTAGTTATCGGTTGGCTCTGAAGGTAGGAAACTGACACACTGAGTTCAAGACAGACTTTCCCCAACTTTTCAAGTCCGAATCATGTAAACAGAGCGGTACCTCAGTACTGACCGATTCCAGGAGGTGCTCAAGCCAAAACCCATGACTATCAAACTGTTTTGGCTGGCAGGGGAATACAGTCATGAGGCAACTGACAGCAGTAAGTTCTAGCTTGTGTGGGCAAATATCAAAGAAATGATCAGTACCAGGATAAAATTTTCATGTCAAACACATCAAGTACCAAGTAAGAGTTTCAAAGCAACTGAGACCCAAGGTATGACTGCACATTATTTTTAAAAAATGACATATATACATAATTCATCTCTAAAAACTGGAGCAAAATATTCTCAGTAGGAAAACTCATCAAAACCATCCTTATTACTTCCACACGTATCACCCTAATCAAGCAAATAAATTAAGACGATCTGAGGTATGTTTGTACCAAGCGAATCCACAAGCAACTGCTACTTGTCCCATCCAACACCACTGCACACAACATACAGTCTGGGTAGTCAGCTCTTTTTATGTGAACATGTAATATACTATCTTTAGGTGAAAAACGCACTGGAATTTTATAGTAGTGAACCTCTGCCACTGATACAATGTAAAAATGACAGACTCTCATTTGAGACACGTATTTACCTTTTCAATTGAAATTTTTGGTCACCGATTCTACCCTGACCAGAAAAAACCCTAGGCTCAAATTTCTTCACATAAATTCAAGGAAGAAATAACATCCATCTTGTAAGGTACCACACCTTTCAGGGTAAAATGAAGAAATACTCCCAATACTTAGGAAGCCAGAGTAAACTTCGTAATGTACACAAGGACATCAAAAGAAAGGAAAATGACAGACCCTGTTTCGCTCATTCACCTTGCTAAACAGCACACACTGACAGCACTTCAAGCTACTGGCAGCTCTTGTGACTTCCCGCATTTCCTCTTTGTAAAACAGCGGTGCTTCATGAAGGCCTCCTCTCCCTGAGCAAACCTGTCAGTCTTTCCTAGAGTCAGTTAACCACCCTGCTTGGGCTGAAAACAGCTCAGTCATACCGTGTGTGCCTAGTACGCACACAGCCCAGGGTTCAATCCCCAGCACTCTCTCACAGAACAAAAGAATCTTCTTCCCTCGGAGCACTTCCTCCAAATAGTTTTGCTTTGTCTACTGATATTTCTCACCTGAGTATAATTTTTAATTACACATTTGTAAGCTTAACACAGACCGTCTTAGGAACAGAGGCAGCACATACTCATTTATCAATTCTCAGGGCCTAGCATCGTGTCTGACACGAAGTACATTCTGAAAAACATTTCACTATTTCTACTTTGAATATTCACTGAGGCAGAAAAATAAACAAAGGCAGATGCATCCAGTCCACGGCCCATAGGCTGCATGCAGCCCTGGACAGCTGGTAACGTGGCTCTATAAGATGATACACTGTTTAACATCATTATGTGATTTTTAGTTGTATTTTTCACAATTTGAATGCATGCTGCTAAAGCAAAGACCGAACGGGTAACAATGGAATGCTGCGCAGGGGAGGGCAGAGGGCAGTGCTAGCTCTGCCTCCCAAGGGTGAAACGGAATGCGCTTGTGTGTAACCTTTGTCAACATATCTAGCAGAGCTACTCATGGTGCTCTGGCGATGTCTGGAGAGAAAAAGGGGGGGTGCTTATAAATTAACAGAAGATAATGCAATTGCTGCCAGGAACTCCTATTTGATGAAGTATCACTCCACCCTACAACAAGAAAATTTATGCATGAAAGATTTAAAAAACTGTCCTCAAAGGTGTGAATTTCACAAGGTTCAAGGGATGGAAACATTGTCAACTCCAGCAGTTCCTTAGAAGTATGGATGGGGACATGTGTACACTATTTGAAAGTAAGATGACTACGTAGGGCTAAAACGTTGAAAAGATTTTGTAAGTTATGAAATAAAATCAACCCACTTATACAGTTAGAAGGAAAATTTGTGCCAGAACTTTAAAATGAGAAACAGCTCACAGATGACCCATTTTTGGTGGTTTGACTCATTTAAGTAAGTTAAACATGCACCTTCAAGGTTAAAAAAAAAAAGAAGAAAAAGAAAAAGAAAATCAACGTATCTGTTCTGTTTCAAACCCTAACAACGGCAACGGACTTCCCTCCCAAAATCAATTTTTGGTATATCTGCACTGCCATTTTCAGTTGACAAAAACACAGTCTGCAAATTTTCAAAGGGATTGTATAAAGTGGCAATCAGACATTCAATTAAAGAAAAATTTTATCCTATCTTTACTAGACTTTTATAACACTTATCTTTCCAGAAAAAAAATTCATCTCGTTTCACAATCATGCTTTATTTGTGTGGATGCTTTTTGGCAGTACATACATCTGAGAATTACTTTCAAGGATGAAGCACATGAAGAGAAAAATTATGTAAGAAATTTCCGAGGAGCACCTTGAAAACACACTAAAAATTACAACACCCATAGAACTAGACATTGATGTACTGTTTAGGTTCACAAAAATGAGGTAAAAACCGCCCACTAGATTTATCTTTGTTATCCTTTTCTAAACATGTTGATAGAAGTAAAGGCAGTTCCGTCATCTGCATGTATTAACTCTATTCCATGTTTTATATGCAGCCCTAGACAGTTCCTCCTCCCTCAGTGGATCCTGGACAAGCTGAAACTTCAAAACCTGGAACACATGAGCTTCATGCTAATAGGAACAGGAATCCTAGTTCTCTTCAGATTGCCCAGCTCAGCAGGGCATGGTGGCGCACACCTGTAGCCCAGCACTCGGAGGCTGAGGCAGGAGGGTCGCCATTACTTTGAGGCCAGCATGGGCTACACAGTGAGTTCAAGGCCACCTTGAAATACACAGTGAGACCCTGGATAAAACACAAAACAAAAAATGTAACAAACCAAACCAAATAAGTAAACAGATTACATACACCCAACTCTCCTATGAGGTCAGCAGAACACTGAGACAAAACCATTAAAAAAATTACAAACCAGGGCTAGGGATTTAGCTCAGTGGCACAGCGCCTGCCTGGCAAGCACGAGGTAGTGAGTTTGATTCCCGGTACCGGGGAAAAAAAAAAGAAAATTACAAACCAATCTCTCAGAAAAGCTTAGTTGAATTCAATCCAATCTACTCATTAAGACAACAGAATTACCAAGTACCCCCACATTTGTTTTTTTTCCTTTAAAAAATTTTTTTTTTCACTTTTGAGTTAACTGTCTTAGCGTAAACCCCGTCAGGGAAGATTAAGTTAATAAATTTACCTTCAAATCCTGCTTTACCATGTACAGCATATTTTGAAATATTGTAATTCATGAGTGTCCTATTCCAAAATAGACATTCAACAGTGTCAATCTTGTTTTACTTTCATCCTCATTCACATTTTCCTCCAGTTACTTCCAGGTAATATTATGGCCTTTTGCCCATAATCTCAGTATGTAGCTCTAAAAAGCAATTACAGTACCTTGATCACACTGTCAATATTTGCCAATTCCTTAATTCACAAAATGTCTACCATGTGTTTACAGTTGTTATTAATGGGATTATTTTTATTTTGACAAAATCCAAACAAGGTCCCTAAAATGTATTTGATTCAAGATCTAAGTCTCAGAAATTACACCATCAAAATAAAAGACCCATTCAAAAAACAGGCACCTGAAATGAACAGATATTCTTGTATAAATGGCGAATACATACATGAAAAAATGTTCAACATCTTTGTTCATTACAGAAACAGAAATTAAAGGAACCCAAGAATGGCATTATGAAGCAATCAAATAGCGAAATCTGACAAGGCTGTGGGGGAGAAAGGAACCCCTCTACATGGTTGGTAGGAATGTAAAGCTAGTTCAACCACTATGAAAAACCAGTATGGAGATTCCTGAGAAAGCTAAAAACAAATTCCTTTTGACTCACGTAGTGTGCTTCTAGGTATCTTCCACAGTTAAAGAGATCATACTACAGTGACACACATGCTCATGTTTACAGCAGTACAACTCATAATACGTAAACCCTAGAAGTTGCCTATGTGTCTTTCAACAGGAGAATGAATAAAGAAAACATGGCACTTATACACAATGCAGTATTACTTCACCAATAAGAAGGACCAAATTTAAGTCATTTGTAGGAAATGGATGCACCTTGAGACCACAGTCTTAGGTGAAATAAATCAGTCACACAAGCCTAAATACTGCATGGTCCTCTTACACGAAAAACCCAAAATACGAAGAACAAAATAAAAGATAATAGGAAATAGGGAGACAGATCTTTTGCAAAAGGGAAGGGGCTAAGGAGAAGGAGTGGGGGAGGCGGAAGGAACAGGATGAGAAGCACGAAGATGTTATGGACACATACCGAGTCCCCATGAGGAATACAATCATCACGTACTGCACATGCATACCAACAGAAAATCGTGAAAGTCAGCAACATGTGGCAACTCTTTAGAAATGCAAAATCATGGGCCCTAACCCAAAGGTACCGAGTGAGAGGCGGAGGGTGAAACCTAGTAATCAGAGGACGGGGCTGGGGGGTGGGTACTGAAGACTGAACCCAAGGCTTTCACATTGAGCTACATCCTAACCTTTCTGATTTCTTTATTCAGTTTTGAGACGTAGTCTGACAAGTCCCTAAATTGCTCAGATTTGGCTCAAACTAGTGATCCTCCCACCTCAGCCTCGGAGTGCTGGGGACAAACGTGCACCACACCGGGTCTAATGTTTTCTGT